GCTATGAGTTGGTACCAACTCCACAGCACTAAACAACATTATGGGATAAGAAGAAAATGAGACTGGAAGTTTTAAACATAGTGGATCTTGCTTTGCTTTGCCACCAATTCATCGGCTGACCTTGATGAGAACTCTCAGCAAGGACACATCTGATTCTACATATTCTGTCTCAGACGACATATCAGATTCTGTGTCAGGTGGGGCTTCCCAATTGATGTGTTTGGAAACAAATGTTCGCCCTTCTTTCAGTACCCATATATAATGGACTTTAAGTATTTTGTGCTGATGCAAGAATTTAAAATTTCAACTTACACATTATCTGAACATTTTGTAACATAGTTCTCAGACCATTGCTAAGTTTCTCCATTTGATATTACCTTTATTTCAGTTACTAATAAATGGAGTCCTGGTCAGGCACTGTAGGATAAACAGCGGATTGCTAGCCACAAGTTTGGTGATTCAAAACCATCAGCTGCTACCTGGAAACCCTAAACAGGGCTGTTATGAATTGGAACCGACCAGATGGCACTGAACAACAACAGAAACTACTGCAAGTGAAGATTATTTATGGGAAGGAGGATTTCTCCTGGAATTGTTTCACGTTGTGTCCTATAATTTGATTTAGCCAGCTCTTAGAACGTCAGAGTCATTTTTCTTATGCTTTTCTTCCTGGAAGTAACAGAATCACAATAAGATCATCTATTCCAGACTCCCAAGCAAGAAAGGGTTCCAATCTCTTGAAAACCTCGTCAGACAGTGCTACTTCAGTTGAATGAGTGCTAAGTAGCAGGAACTGCTGACGTTGACGGAATTCACAATTTCCTCTCTTCCTCACCCTGTCAAGTTCAGACAAATTGAGAAACCAATGAAGTATTATCAAGAAAAAAAAAAAAAATCGACATTTGTCTCCCAATTCTTGCCACACAATTCTTGTATCATATACATAAGTAGATGTTGCAGTTGTTGTTAATTGAAGTCAAGTCAGTTTGGACTCATAGCAACCTTGTACAGGGTTTCCTAACAGCATCTGTACATATAGTACTCATGAATCAGTACTAAAGTATAATGTACATTGAAGGACCCTGCTCCTGATCAACAAAATGGCACTGCAGCTGCCCCCAAGTGGCGCTGAATAAAGTCCTGCTTAAGCTTCGTTTTCCTGAAAGCTTACATCTTTATTACACCAAGAGACCCACCCCCCATTAGTTTCTGGTTTCAGGAACATTTCCATAACTCCACCCATTGGAAGCCCACCAAAACTGTACCCAGGACCGCACAGCCTTAAATGCACCTGTCTGTAAGGGACAGACGGGTTCTTTGTCTCTCTTGACTTTGAGTTCCCCCTCCCAGGTATACTCTCAATAAACCTGCCTGCTGTTGAAGCCATGTTTCTCGCCTCATCTCTTTCTCTCTCTTTCTTACATACATACAGAAAAATGCACAAATCCGAAGCGAAGGATCTGATGAGTTTTCAAAGTCTGAACACATATGTAGGACCCAGATCAAGAAGGAGTTTGCCAGCACCCCTAGGGGTCCTCCAAGTATCCTCTTCCAGTCACTAAGCCTCCTACAGAAGTGAACACCTGACTGACTTTTAACAGCACAGTTTTTGTTGTTGTTACATGCTGTTGAGTCGATTCCGACCCATAGCAACCCTGTATCAGGTTTCCAAGGAGCTGTTTCTGAACTTCATATAAATGACACCACGCAGTATGAACTTTTTGAGTTTACTGTCTGTTTAACATCTTTATAAAATATATCTGTGCTATTATGTGTTTACTTATTCTCATTGCTATATAGATTCCACTGTGTGAATGAATAGTCAACAGTTTATTTACCCATTCTTACTATTAGGCTTTCAGTTAGTTTCCAGTTTCTGGTTTTTATGAATTATGCTACTATAAACATTCTTCTTATACGCCCTCTGAGGAACTTATGCTGACATTTTTTTGGCCATATTCTTAGGTGTGAAATGCAGTCTCATATGGTCTGCATATATTATTGATCTTTAGTCAAAACATTAAACAGCTTTCCAAACTAGTTTTACTAACTGAAACTGCCACCAGAAGTGTTTGAGAGATCCATCTATGCTAGACCTTTACCAACACTTGGTATTATGGTCTTTATTATTTTAGCAACTGTGGTGCATAATAAATGGTTTCCTATGTAGCTCAAATTTGCATTTCTCTAATGATATTGGGGAATCCTGGACTGCAAGGTCAGTTTGGACTGCAAGGTCAGAAACCCTATACAGGCTCGCTATCAGTCAAAACCGATTCATCGGCACTTATCAACAGTGATGTTGGACATTTTCATGTTCACTTACCATTTACTTTTTGTGAAGTATATAACGCTTTTGCACATTTTAATTAGGTGTCTTTTTCTTATTATGAGAAATTACTTCTATTAATACATTTATTTAACGTATCTTCTCCCATTTCTCTACAAGTGTCACTTGATGACTGTATAGTGCTTTTCAAAGTTAATTAAGTCGAGGCACATGTTTGCTCCTTTTCCATTCTAGTGCTCTTTCTACCAAAGCAGAATAACCAAAGGATGAATTTACTTTTAAATTTTACTATTTTGCTTCTTTTCTCACCAATATGCCAACTGTGTTACTGACATTCAACTTTAAAATCAGTCCAAGGTAAGCCAAAGAACATGGGCACTGGAGTCAGATAGAACTGGCTTCATTCTCTGTTTGATCACTAAATAGCTAATTATCTGTATTTCTGTGAACCTGGTTATTCTCCTCTGAGGAAAATGCCAATGAAGATGATACCTACCTCCCTGGAGAAGAATGAATGAGGCAGTGGTGGTAGCTATTACTACTAGTTGTTACAGCTCTGGTAATTCCTAAGCTAGTGTGTCCACATTCCCTTGTGTCATCTTCCTATGCACTGGAATGATCATGGAGCTTCATGGAGCAAAGGGATTTGTGGAACTCTGGCCTCACTGGCACACAAGCACTCACTCTAAATGGCAGCTTAGTGTAGACAGGTACAACAGAGCCTACCATCATCTTAGCTTCATCCAGCCTAGTTTTCATTTCATACAAATGTTTCTCCCTCAAATACAGTGATGTTGAAAGCCTGGCAAGGGTACTTTCGTAGCTGGCTGTTTTGTAATTTTCTTGTGTGATTACGAAGTGATGTCGTTTTTGTCAGGAGAAGTTTATAGTCACATTGGCAAGCTAAATCAGAAATGCTGCAATAAAGGGATTCCAGGAAGCTCAATCAGGTAGGGAATAGGCATTCAATTTCCTCAGAGACAGCTGTAGCTCTCCCTTCCCAGCAGAGATTAATATTTTGTGCTAATCATATCCAATCTGTGAAATAACTATGTCTAAATCACATGCACCATTTGTCTGTCAGATTGTCGTACTGTGGGGACTCGTGTGTAGCTATGATGCTGGAAGTTGTGCCACTAGTATATTAAAGATCAGCAGGATCATGAATGGTGAACAGTACTAGTGGGGCTTACAGACTAGGAAGAAGAGGCAGACCACTACTGAAATGTTAGCCACTGAAAAGTACAAGAACAGTGTTTGATAATAGTACCAGAAGATGAGCCTCTCAGGTTGGAAGGCACTAAAATACAATTGGGGAAGAGCTGCATCATCAAAGTAGAGTTAACCATAATGACGTGAATGGATTTAAAGCTTTTGGGAATTTCATTTGTTGATGGGAACAACTCAAAATGAGAAGAAACAGCTACAAACATCCATTAATAATAAGAATGCACCAAATATGAATACAGGAAAAGCAGAAGCTGTCAAAAATGAAATGGAATACATAAAGTCAATATTTGAGGCATTAAATGAGCAGAAATGAACAGGCACTGGACATACTGCAACAGACAATTGCATAATTTACAATGCCAGGAATGACAAACTGAAGAGAAATGGTATCACATTCATAGTCAAAGGCATTTCAAGAACTATCTTGAAGTACAACACTGCCTGTGATAGGATAATACCATAGAACTATAAGAAAAACCACTTAATACCACTACTATTCAAATTCAACCACCAATAACTGATGAAATTGAAGAATTCTACCAACTCCTTCAGTCTGAAATAGAAAAAAAAAAATCAATCTAGATGTATTGATAATTACTGGTGATTGGAACGCAAAAAATGGAAACAAAAAGGAAAGATTGGTAGTTGGAAAAGATGGCCTTAATAATAGACACAATGCTGGAGATCACATGATAGAGTTTTGAAAGACCAATGACTTATTTACTGCAAATATCTTTTTTCAACAACATAAAAGGCTAATGTACATGTGGACCTCAAAATATGAATCACACAGTAATCAAACCAACTATGCAGAAGCGACGATGAAGAAGCTCAATATCATCAGCCAAAACAAGGCCAGGGGCTAACTGTGGAACAGATCATCAACTGATCATATGCAAATTCAGCCTGATGCTGAAGAAATTTAATCAAGTCCACAACAGTCAAAATATGACCTTGGATATATAGCACATGTATGTACAGACAAGTACAGATTTGATGCATCAGAAACCAATGAGCAAAGACCAGAAGAGTTATGAGATGACATCAAATCAGACAGGAAAAAAGCAAAAAAGTCACTAAAAAGACAGAAAAGACC